TACCTCACCCGGGGGAACTGCGATCCCCCGCGATCCCCCCCGAAATGACCTCTGCTCCTAATTCAGGACTACTGTATGCTCCAATGCCCTCCCGCGCCCAGAATTTTCCTCCGCGGCTGCTGCGAGAGGCAAAAGCCAGCCACAAAATGGCGGCCATGGCTTAACTTTGGTCACACAGTGCAGATCCTTGGCCTGAGGTGGTGGCAGCTGCCAGAGCAACATTTTTTGAATGATCTGCACAGCCAATCACATCCCCGATAGTTAATTAGAAGCCTCATTGGACAGGAGCCCTCCCTGGCCCCGCCCACTCCCTAAAAACTCTTGGCAAGTGTTGGAGGTCTGAGTCGAGAAACCGCTTATTATTTGGGGTGAGTGAGGTTTGCTGGTAGTGCAAGCAGCTTCGATGAAGGAAACCGTCTGCCTGCCAATGTGCAGTCCTCCCTTTGCCCCCCTTACTGTGTGCAAGTTCAAGCCCAGCTGAAGCCAACTGAATAATCACAACTGCAGCTATCTGGAGTCCCACCGAGGCCAACTTCCAATGGGACTTGGCCATGATCAGCCACCACTGGGGGAGTCTGGGTGCTGAACCAATGTTCCCTCTAAGCTGTCGGGGGGTGTCTGTGTGCTGAAGCACAATAAAGATCCACAACCCAAACCAGGCGTCAGACTCTTGAACAAACTTTCTCCCAACAACACTCTCTTGGCAGTGATTTGTTTATTGAGAGCTGAAGATGTTTCAAGCTGAGACCACTCGTGTCAGAACTGACTCCTGTGGCGCCAGTTCTGAAGTTATACAGGATTCAAAGAAGCCCCACTCCCCCAGTGACCAGTCCAATCACTCCATTCATTCAGCTTGCCTAAAGGTCCACAACCCAAACCAGGTGTCAGACTCTTGAACAAACTTGCTCCCAACAACACTCTCTTGGCAGTGATTTGTTTATTGAGAGCTGAAGATGTTCCAAGCTGAGACCACTTGTGTCAGAACTGACTCCTACGGCGCCAGTTCTGAAGTTATACAGGATTCAAAGAAGCGCCCCCTCCCCCAGTGACCGGTCCAGTCACTCCATTCATTCAGTCCGCCTAAATCTAGCATGCTCCATTAGCCCTCCTTCCCCCACCTGTGAACCTACAGTTACATCATCTACAACAAGCTGGCTAGCAGAGGCTGGCATTCAAGGTCGTTGTGCATTCTTTCCATCCTCAGGAGGCCCACTTGGAAAGCGGTCGTAAGTTAGCATGGCCAAGCAGTCTACACCCCCCTCCACACACACTCTCACAGTCTGCCCCCCCAATTTCCCAACGTGAAAGAACAAAGCGCCAGAGACAGTGAAACTAGAACATGGCAAACGAGGGCCCGAGTTTGACACCAGGCTGCCCGACTTGTGGACCCCATTAAGCCGAATCAGCTTCACCAACCAAATACGGCAACCAGTTAAGGAGCTACTGCTGTTGCTGCTGGGCGGCCAGCGTGAAAACACAGGGCTTGCCAAGTATCTGTGGGCTGGCATTCAGTTTCTTGGGATCAGAATCCAGGCAGGATCAATGGTTTGGCTCCCTTTTCGAGGGCAATACCTGTCCGGGGTCATTGTACCAAAGCTCCTCATGCAGGCGATCAGGGTGAGCCTTCTTGCGCTTGATTTCAGCGATGACGTCGAAAACCTCAGAATCGGAACTGCTGGAACAGCTGTCGTCATCTGAGTCGCAATCGGACTCACTGGAGCTCCCTAGGTCCCGAAAAACAAACCAAAAAAAAGGTGTTACTTTAGGAACCCTAATCACTCACCATTCCCCCTGAGAGCTATACAAACACTGAACCCACAATTGTCTCCTTGGAGACAGAAAAAGGTGAATACAAGGCGGAAGCGCAAGAAGACTTCTTGTCCACCTGACCCTTAAGAACCTAAGAGAAGCCATGTTGGGTCAAGCCAACAGCCCATCCAGTCCAACACTCTGTGTCACACAGTGGCCAAAACCCAGGTGCCATCAGGAGGTCCACAAGCGAGGCCGGAACTCCAGAAGCCCTCCCACTGTTGCCCCACAAGCACCAAGAATACGGAGCGTCTCGCCATCAAATGGAAAAACAACCTACCTCCCACAATTACAGCATGGCATGATAGGATCTGGCAATTTTATGTGATGGAAAAGATTGCCTACAAGAATGCTCTAACTGACAACACGAAACAAAACGCTCAATTTCTAGCAATTTGGTATCCATTATTAGATTATATGATAGCTAGTGGTAAAGTGCCAAAATCTGTTTATCCCATAGATCAGTTACAACTGTAAGACTGATGTAAAGGTAAAGGTTCCCTTGCTCGAAAGCCAGTCGAGTCCGACTCTAGGGTTGCGGTGCTCATCTCCATTTCCAAGCCGAAGAGCCAGCGCTGTCCGAAGACGTTTCCGTGGTCATGTGGCCGGCATGACTCAACACCAAGGCGCACGGAACGCTGTTACCTTCCCACCGAAGCGGTACCTATTTATCTACTTGCAATTTCTTGCTTTCGAACTGCTAGGTTGGCAGGAGCTGGAACTAGAGACGGGAGCTCACTCCGTCATGCGGCACACCCGGGTCTCAAACTGCTGAACTACCGACCTTCCACAGCCTACAGTTCAGCGTCTTAACCACTTGAGCCACCGCAGCTCCAAGATTGATGTACCCTTTGTTATATATTTATAAGCTGTAGCTCTATAAGTCTATCAAACGAACTGTAAATTGAGAAAGTTACGTTCTTCATATGTAACGTTGTTGCTATCTTTTCATGCAATAAAAATGTTTTTTAAAAAAGAAAAGAATACAGAGCGCCACTGCCCCAGGTGTAGTGTTCCAGCTATACTTTGTAGCTAATAGCCACAGATGGACCTCTGCTCCATATGTTGATCCAGCCCTGTCTCTAATCTAGGAGATCTGGTTTTGAGTCCCCACTCTTCCACATGCAGCTGCTGGTCACAGCACATGCAGCTGCTGGTGTGACCTTGGGTCAGACATGGCTCGACCACAGCTGCTCTGTCAACCAAGACCATGTCACCCCTCAGTCGTCGTTTCTCCAAGCTAAAGAGCTTGTGTGGTGGGTTCCAGCAGCTGCTCACACGGTGGGTCGCAGGGAAGATTTCAGCTTCCAGTGCTGGGGACTATTGAAGGGGCGCGTGTGGGCCTTGCCGGAGGGCATCGAGGCATGTCAATGGAGGTAACAGAACCACAACAGCAACACCACGGTGGCAAAACAGCTATCGAGCAGATAGCAGAACCTGGAACTGGGGAGGGACGCCATTCAGTATCTGTGCAAGGAGTTGCAGCCACACTGCCGTCTTTTGATGCCCGGATAAACAAAGAGCGATCGAGGGATAAGTGAGTAGAAAGTAGTCAATGGCAACCATGATATATGTACGACGGGAATATCACTGTTTGGTGGGTTTTCAAAAAACAGATCAATATTTATACTAGTACAAATACATTTCTGTACATTTATACAAGAACAAATATTTAAAAAAAATCATTTCACAATGCTGACAAGCACAGTCCAATAAGCTAAAGTCCTTACATACAGTAAATCTTTTTTTGTGTCTTTCTTGTACTTTATGCTATTGCAATCCTATAATACAGGGGTGTCGAACTCATTTGTTATGAGGGCCGGATCTGACATAAATGAGACCTTGTTGGGCCGGGCCATGTGAATCATAAAAGGTAATGCCAGGTAGCGGAGATATAAACTTTATAAAGGACACAAACACAAAGAGGGGTTTTTTTACTTTAAATAAAAACATGCTTAAAACATTAGCACTCTTACAATATTTTGCTTATTTAACAGTGTCTGATAACCGACACCTCTTGCTCTGAATTATTACATCAAAATGTATGTGCTGTTGCAATCTTGACTTTGCTGTTCAGGTGTGTATCTGTAAGCTGCAAACCTAGGATGACGCAGCAGCAGCAGAACTGGAAGAAGAAGCAGAAGACAGCCAGTTCCACTGCGGGCCTGACGGAAGCCCTCCGGGGGCCTGATCTGGCCCCCGGGCAGCATGTTTGACACCCCTGCTATAGTAGAACAAGAAAGACACAAAGAAGATTTACTATAAAAGAGTGATATTCCCTTCATAAATAAATATATTGTGGTAGCCATCGACTATATTCTAATCTTTCGATGTTGTTGTTGTTCAGTCGCACAGTCGAGTCCGACTCTTCGCGACCCCATGGACCAGATCACGCCAGGCCCTCCTGTTTTGACCTTCAGTCTTTCCCAGCATCAGGGTCTTCTCCAGTGAGTGCTCCCTTCTCATTGGGTGGCCAAAGTATTTGAGCTTCAGTTTCATTATCTGGCCTTCCAGGGAACAGTCAGGGTTGATTTCTTTGAGGATTGACTGATTCGATGCCCGGCAGTATAAGGACACTATAATCCCCCTTCCCCTTCAGTGGAGGAAAGTGGAATCCACCTTGCGTCCATTACGATGTCGGCAGAGCCTGTCCTCTGAGGACCACAGGAGGCTCCCAACTGTCACCTGAGCACAGAGGCCAGCACCAGTAGCACCCAAGGAGAAGGAAGAACTGACAAAGCCCTTCTTGCAGTTCACACTGCGTCAGTACATTTTGCACATGTTTCAGCATGGAATAAAGTGGTAAAAGTCCATTATAATATGCTTGGGGGTAAACAACGGGACAGATTTGGTCTCTGGGACTGCTGCTGCCTTAACCCTACTATGAAGTCGGTGTTGCCAGATCAACATTTTTCTACCTTCAGCCAGTGTTCCCTCTAAGCTGAGTTAGCGTGAGGTAGCTCACAGTTTTTTAGCCTCCGGCTCACCCATTTTTGTCCTCGCTCAGGAAGGGATGGCTCCAGAGCAGACTAATTTATGCAGTAGCCAAATCACCTGCTCACAACTTCAGCGCCAGTAGCTCAGAAAGTAGAATTTGTGCTCACAGGACTCCAAAGCTTAGAGGGAACATTACCTTCAGCAGGTCAGGCAACTGGCTCCCTACCTATCTGCCCACGACCTGGCCACTGTGACCCATGCAAGTGTCACCTCCCGGCTGGACTACTGTAACACACTCTACGCGGGGCTGCCCTTGAGACTGACCCAGAAACTCCAGTTGGTCCAGAACGTAATGGCGAATGTCCTGACAGGAGCATCATTAAGAGCGCACATACAACCGGTGCTCAGCCAGCTGCCCTGGCTTCCGGTTGAGTACCGGATCAAATTCGAGGTTTTAGTTCTAACCGTTAAAGCCCTGTGCGGTCTGGGACCAAAATACCTTCAGGGGCCGCCTCTGCCAGGACATCCCTCAAAGAGCGTTACGCTCTATGGACCAACATCTGCTGGTGATCCTCAGCTCGAAGGAAGTCCACGTAGCCTTAGCCAGAGCCTCTTCAGCTCTCTCGCCCGCTCGGTGGAACACTCTCCCGAGAGAGATCCGGGCCCTGCGAGACCTAATGCAGTTTTGCAGGGGCTGTAAATTGGAGATGTTCCTCCAGGCCTATGATTGAGGGAGGGGGGGTGACTTATCTGTATTAGTATTAGTTACCATCAACTGTGCACAGACGTGAAATCGACGCGGGAGAGGTGGTATTAAAGTAAAGGTAAAGGGTCCCTTGCTCGAAAGCCAGTAGAGTCCGACTCTAGGGTTGCGGTGCTCATCTCCGTTTCAAAGCAAAAGAGCCAGCGCTGTCCAAAGACGTTTCCGTAGTCATGTGGCCGGCATGACTAAACACCGAGGCACACGGAACGCTGTTCCCTTCCCACCAAAGTGGTACCTCTTTATCTACTTGCAATTTCTTGCTTTCGAACTGCTAGGTTGGCAGGAACTGGAACTAGAGACGGGAGCTCACTCCATCATGTGGCACACTCGGGTCTCGAACTGCTGAACGACCAACCTTCCACAATCGGCACTAAAAATGGTATCACATTTGGATTTTAATAACTGCCGGTGTTATGTTAATCATTTTATTGTATTATAAGAACATAACAGACGCCAGTGTTGGATCAGGCCAAAGGCCCATCCAGCCCAACACTCTGTGTCACACAGTGGCCAGAAATACCAGTGCCATCAGGAGGTCCACCAGTGGGGCCAGGACATTAGAAGCCCTCCCACTGTTGACCCCCCCCCCAAGCACCAAGAAGACAGAGCATCACTTGCCCCAGAGCCCCTATCTATACCTTGTGGCTAATAGCCACTGATGGACCTCTGCTCCATATGCTTATCTAATTCCCTTTTGAAGCCGTCCATGCCTGTAGCCGCCACCACTTCCTGTGGCAGTGAATTCCATGTGTGAATCACTCTTTGGGTGAAGAAGTACTTCCTTTGATCCGTTCTAACCCGACCGCTCAGCAGTTTCATGGAATGCCCACGAGTTCTTGTATTGTGAGAAAAGGAGAAAAGTACCTCTTTCTCTACCTGCTCTTTCCGATGCATAATCTTATAAACCTCGATCATGTCACCCCTCAGTCGTCTTTTCTCCAAGCTAAAGAGCCCTAAGCGCTTTAACCTTTCCTCATAGGGAAAGTGTTCCAACCCTTTTATCATTCGGTTCAGGGTGGATTTTATCATACTGCTAAAATCCACCCTGAACCTTGCGATGCAGGAGAGGGCGGAAATAGTGATCAAATAAATAAATGACAAGAATCTGTTCTGGGACCCAAAGCCTCGATCGGCGTGGTACCTACCCATATCTTCGTCTAGCTTTGTCTTTGGCGGCTCCCATGGCGGCCTGGCGGCTTTGGCCTTGGCCTGACGCTTCCCCAGCTCTTCTTCAAACTTTTCATACAAGTCTCTCAATCGGCTCGTTCCAGCCACTGTGGAGTCTCCCTTGCAAATGCAGGGGACAGAAAAAGCCCCTGCCCTGCCACACATGTTGTTAGTCTTTCAAGCGCTATTGGACCCTTCCTCTTTTCCACTACCCCAAGCAGAAGACAGTTAAGCCAACCACAAAGGGTGATCGACGACCACCGTTTGACAAGCTGCAAATGAACCACAGAGGCCACTGACACATTCGGGAAGGTTAACTCCCACCATTTATCCAACATGTGGATAAATGTGAATGCGGCAACGTGACCACGTGAACGCCACCATTCCTGTTCAGGACCAAGAGGTAGCAAGGGAGTGATAAATTCTCCTCACCGTACAGAAAAACCCTACTGACTGCACCATGGTTTTTTTTCATACACAACTTTTTTCACTGTGAAACAGAAAACATTCCCGTGAACAAATTAGCAAGTACAGATCTTCACGCTTGGCATACTCCCACAGGTCTAGCTTGTTGGGTATAAGCACGGGAGGCCGCTGTACCCAAACACAGCAAGACACGTATGTGATCAATCATTACATACAACGATCAGTATAAATGGTTACGGGCTATGTACAGAAGAGCTTTCCATATGGGAATCAGCATGATGCGTGAAGTAGACCTGACGAGTTTGTTTTCTTGGCATCTGTGCACATCACACCGCAAACAGAGAATGAGTTCTGCTCCATGCTAAGTTTTATTTTAAACCTTACAATTGGCCTTTTTGTTAATTTAAGCTATTTTCAGAATAAGTCAAGTTGCAGAAACAGATCCGATTATAACATCAATCTAAATACATTGTTAGGTTTAAAAATTCTGAACACTGCACAGACAGGTACCCTGAGGCCTACAAGTTTCTCGGAACTGAATCCATCATGTTATATCAGGCACATTGAGGTACGGCCTGTTGTTCTATTTAAAAGAACAAACCACACATTTTTTTACATCAGCCATTATGGATATGGCACAGTAGCAGTGCCCTCGTTAGTAAAGTTACACAATTCTAAGCCCACTGAGTTTACCAGGCAGAGAAGTGCATAACTCTGTTTAGGCTAGGGTTGCGGTGCTCATCTCCGTTTCAAAGCCGAAGAGCCAGCGCTGTCCGAAGACGTTTCCGTGGCCATGTGGCCGGCATGACTAAACGCCAAGGTGCACGGAACGCTGTTAATTAATCCCTTTTAATAGTACTGGATTACTTATAGTTTTTTTAAAAAACAACTCCTGAACACCAGCCACTGATGGACCACGCCCTGTTCCAGCCTCCATATGTTTGCCAAATTCCATCTGGCATCTGTTCATGCCAGCCACCACTACCAGCACCACCACCTCCTGTGGCAGTGAATTCCATGTGTTAATCACCGTTTGGGTGAAGAAGTCCTTCCTTTCATCTGTTCTAATTAACCCGACTGCTCAGCAATCTCATGGAGTGCCCACGAGTCCTTGTCTTGCGAGAAAGGGAGAAAAGGACTTCTTTCTCTACCTGCTCTATCCCAGGCATAGCCTTGTAAGCGTCTTATGTCACCCCTCAGCAGTGTTCCCCCTAAGCTGAGTGAGTGTGAGCTAGCTCACAGTTTTTTAGCCTCTGGCTCACACATTTTTGTCTTAGCTCGGGAAGGATGGCTCCAGAGCAAACTGATTGATGCAGCAGCCAAATCTCCTGCTCACAACTTTAATGCCAGTAGCTCCCAAAGTAGAATTTTTGCTCACAGGGCTCCATAGCTTAGAGGGAACATTGCCCCTCAGTCGTTGTTTCTGAAAGTTAAGAGCCCCAAGTGCCTTAACCTTTCTTCATAGAGAAAGTGTCCTCTTATCATTGCAGTTGCCCTTTTCTGCACTTTTCCCAGTGCTGTAAATATCCTTTTTGAAGTGTGTGTGGTGTGAGTGGTCCAATGCGGTTGCACCATCAATTTATACAGGGCAGGGCCTGTATAAATGTTGTTCCTGGTAGTCTTTTGGGGTTTCTGTGTGGCACTGTGGCATGCTTGCACTGCCACTTGTTCTGGAGTGTGCCACTTGTTCTCATGGCACACAAGCCCCTCCCAAGACAGTCCACTTTCCCTGAGATTCTCTGGGAGAGTCTGACTGCTGGGTGCTGCCTCCTTGCCTGCCTTAAGTGCTTCTGGCTGGGTTTCCCCATTGGAAACAATGGGGGTAACCTGTTTGGGTGCCCATAGAATTGGACTCACTTGTACAATTTCTTTGGAACATGGGGGTTTATGTCGGGAGAGGCTCCCGAAGCTACCCTGAAAATTTGGAGCCTCTCCCTCAAACCCCCTCGCCCCCAGAGCCACTAACAGCACCATGGGGGGAAAGTAACTTTTCCCCCCACCATAGACAACAATAGAGGATGGGGGCAACCTGTTTGGGTGCTCGTAGAATTGGACCCCCTGGTCCGGTGTTCTTGAAACTTGGTGGGTATCTTGGGGAGAGGCTCCAGCAGCTACCCTGCGAGTTTGGAGCCTCTCCCTCAAACCCCTTCCCCTCCAGCCCCCAGAATATACCCTATGTTTTCGCCACTGACATCAATGGCCCATAGGATATAATGGGGCCGAAATTGACGTTGGTCTGGCCCAAAGACAACCAGATGGGCTTGTACTGCCGAAATTGACACGCGGGAGTCTTTCTGCCAGCTGAAATTGATTCTGCCCGATTCGGCGGAATCCGAATTGGGCCGAATTTTTTTTTTTGCACACCCCTAATCTGGGGTATGTAGAACAAACCGCAGGAAGGAGGCAGTGTGGCACAATGCAGTCTCATCAACCTTCGAAAGCAAAGCAGGTCAGTAC